CATCAGGATTGCTGGAGCACCATTTCCTTAGCTTTAGCCTTAGCCTTGGCAAGTAGCCCTGTGGTTTGTCTCATAATTTCTATGACTGCGTTTGTAGAAGCACCACCATTGATTAAATCATCAACATAAAAATCGCGACGCAAGATATCGGAGCCAATAGGAAATAGCTCATGCTCATCTTCAGCCAGCTGATGCATAGTGCGAACGGAGAGAAACGAGGCAGGCTTTGTACCGTAAGTGACGGTATCAAGACGGAAAACTTGAATATTCTTTTGAGGCGAGTCACGCCATAGAATGCATTGAAAATAGGTATCCGGATTTGATACTCGCACGCAGCGGTTCATCTTGCAGATGTCTCCTGTTAAAGCGATAGGAAACGTGCGAAATCGAACAAGCGTGTTTGCGAGCTTTGACTGAATATAAGGACCAGCCATTAGGATGTCATTTAAAGAATGACCAGAAGATGTGGATGCGGAACCGTCAAACACGACTCTTAACTTTGTCGTTGTGCTGTCCTCCTTCAGAACGCAATGGTGCGGAAGGAAATACTTGCACAAATTTAGCGAAACTGGCGATACAAGCGACATATGACCCAACTCTAAATACTCCTTAATAAATGCAGAGTACTGTGCTTTGAGAAGTGGATTGCGTTCTAACTTTCGCTTCAAGTTTATAAACCGACGATAGGCTTGCATATAGGAATCGCCAAGCAGATCTGTGCTGAGCTTTACAGGCAGTCGGACGGAATACTCGCCAGTACGCAGGCGCCTGTAATTATTAGCCTTGAAATGCTCCTCGCAGTCGAACTCTTCTTTTGTAAGTTTTACAGCCGGATCGACATCACTTTCGAGTTCCCAAAAAGAGCGAACCATCTGCTTGCTGTGGCTTGAAGAACGCCGGATCAGCTAAGCGGACATTGCTTGGTATATTCCAATGACCGTGGAATTTGGTTGGTTCTCAGTAATGGAAGGAGCGACCAAAGCAGTAATATTTGCCGAATAGTCAGTGTCCAATGATTGCAAGCATAAGTGCACAGTGCAACCATCAGACTTGAAACTGACGTCACCAAGACCAGACACAGAGGCCGACGACTTGGTCTTTCGAAGTTGGAGCCGGTGAGCGAATCGCGAAGTTATAATGTGCAACTGTGATCCGGAATGGAGCAGTGCACGGCAAGGTACCCAAGTCCCAGCGCGATTTTGAATGGTGATGACAGCGGTGGCCAAGAGCACAACATCTGAGCCGAGATTTTGGACAGGTAATGAAGCAAGCGATGATGGCGAAACAGCTGCGAGAGCGCTACGTGGTAGTAACGATGAAGACGGCCGCAAGTGTAAGACAGAAGCGGACGATTGCTCAGGCATCAAATTTACGGCAGCTGAATTATTAAAATGCAATAAACTGTGATGAATTGCAAGTTCTCATTCTGTGTCCTTTTCTAAGACAATTTATACACAGAGAGAGGCGTTTCGCTTCCTTTAAACGAAGTACAGGCGACAAATTACCAAAAAGTAGGCAACTGTATATTTCGTGTGCATTATTGTCACAAAACAGACAACCATTTGCGGATGGGTTAGTGGCGACAAACGAGCGTTTGGTGTTAGTGTTTTTATTCTTTCCCACCTGATAATTCGACGAATATGATGCCATTGCATGCTCGATGTTTTCCAATTTTTGGCACCTGCTATCCAAGAACGTCGCAAATTGCTCCCATGATGGTATAACGTTTAATGGGGCGGCTTCCTCCCACTTTGCCTGCGTCGCAGCATCCACCTTGCCCAAAATTGTCTGAACGACGATGCTGCCAGCTACATCTTGCATATTGCCCAAACTCAACAGTGCACGCATATTTGCGTTGACTTTGTCGGACAACTCTCGCAGCTTGCTTGTAGTTTCAGCCTTTTTAATGCCCAAAATCTCGGAGATGTGTGCCTGGAAAATAAGACGCTTATTGTTAAAACCGCTTGTCGAGTAGCAATAATTTGCACCACTTATCTCAAGCGCACGAATCGTGTCCAACGCAGATCCTCTTAAGCTTGACCTCAAATGCTGCAACTTTTTCACATCGGAGAGATCTGGATCCTTCGCGATCACTGATGTGTTCATCGAAGCGAAATCTGCATATCCAGTATATCCACCACTGAATGTAGGCAACTTAAGCTCAGGCAAACGAGACCGATTATTACAATAGTAGACCGATCATCTTGCCGAAGCGTCGAACACGGCGGCGCGCCAGATTGCATCCTTTGTATTGCATTTAGAAGGCGGCCCTCCAAGCAGACCACCAGCTCAGAAGAGTTGCAGTGCAAACTGCTGCCAATCTCGACAAAGTCCAGCTCATCTAATTTATCATGCACCAAAAGAGGCCTGAATACTTTGCAGCATTTCCACACGTTTCACTTTCTGAAATATTGTCAATTTCACAATAATTTATTTTATTTTGAATAGAAAGCGCCCACGCATAATATGATTGCGCCTTGCGCTTATAAAACTGAACATTATTGTTTGTAGCCTGCACTGCATTGCCCACAGCTGTTGACGTCGAAGCTGTTGGAGCAGGCGTCGCTGCATCATCTACGTCTGCAGCAGCTGTTGCGACAGCTTGGTAGGCGTGCATATGACCGTCGCTCTCAGACATTATAAACGCGAGAGAGAATGAGAACCGAAAATAGCAGAGATAAATGACGCGCGCGAATTACTGTTTTATCTGCTGATGTTCGTTGCCCTTAAAAACGTCGCTTCACACGGCTGCTTATTGGCGGTACAGTAGACACTTTGAACTTATACTTTTGCACTTATGTATGTACTTGAATCTTTTTTGGGTACATGAACTCAATTAAATCCTATTTTGTTTTTTAACGCGATTAAGCAAGGTTTCGTGGAATTATTAATCACGTCGGGGTCACCAAATGTATAATCATAAGCTTTTTTATGATTCCAAATATGCGAAATTATGTTGGTGAAATAATTGCAAAATAAGCGAAAACGAAAGTGTTCAATTTAAAGAGGTTCACAAATGTTTATTTTGCATAGGTAGCGACTACGATTTTGGGTGTTTGGCGCGATTTACAAAGTTTATGCTGGTAGACGGAAAGCTAAGCTTGTCCGTACCAGATGCGATAACGAAAACGAACTTAACTTGCAGAGTTAGCGACAATAACTAGTACATATGCAAATTTATGGCAAGCAACAAAACGAAAAAAGAAAATTTCAAATCTTCATTTATAAAGTATATGTTTTGTTTTCATATAATTGTTTTTTTGTTTTATTTTTGCTTAATCATAGAATTTATTGTTTTGTTTGTTACGGATATAAATGTTTTTTTTTTTTTTTTTTTTTGTTTTTTTTTTGTTAATTTGCTGTTCGGCGATCTTGGTGCCCCCTTGCCAATGATGCAGCCAATTAAGTCATTTGAAACGGTCATCTCGTGCTGCTGCTGTTGAGCTCGATTTGCATTAGCCGTGCGCAATTGGGAGCCAGCCAATGCGGCGAGGGCTGTATTCTTTGCCGGTGCCATGCCAGCAAGACCCAAGGCAGCAAAGCTGGCCAATGGATTTTTGGCAACCTCCTGGGTGGGTACAGCATAGTTGCCCTGTATGGTAAAGGCTTGTCCATTGGCCAATATGACTAGGCCAGTTACTTGCGGTTTTGGAAAAAAAAAATGATCTGCCATCATCCCTAACTTACTCTCGTGTACTAATGTATGCCGACGACGTAAAACTTTGCCTCTCATATAACGATGTTCAGTTTCATGACAATTTGCAGCTTGATCTCAATGCCTTCCAATTGTGGTGTTCGCGGAATCTGTTGAGCTTAAATTTTGTTAAATGCAAGCTAATGACGTTCCACCGATGCAAGCCTCATTTCATTTCATATTATTTAAATAACTCTCCTGTAGAACGAATTTTCACTGTTAGCGACATAGGTGTACTGTTTGATGCTAAACTTTGTTTTAATGATCACATCTCCACCATTGTTAATCCTAATTTAGAATATTGTTGTTGCTTGTCAGCCAAATTAACTCTACGGTACCACAAAGACCTTCAAGATTTTTTGTTCCTGAAAAATCGCTAGCTTTTTAGCGAAACGACAACAAGATTTAACTATTTATTAAATGAGACGCGGTGTTCTTTGATTATTAAAATGGCTTTTAATGGCTTGGTAATTGTGCAAAAACGATGTTGAATGTGCGAGAATTATTTAGCAAGTGTTTTGCCTGCTGCCGCTACAAGTCAGCGGGCCGGCATAAGAAAAAGAATGCACAAAGAGAGCGCCACAGAGAGCGCAGTAAAGGGCGCGATAGAGAGCGTAAAGAAAAGGCTTAGAAGCTCAGTAGGGTGCTCCAACAGTTCCCATAAGCCTAAATCGCTGTACAAGCAACTATGCTTTGCACAGTCCGTTTCGGGTTATGTGTAGCAACTACAATAATTTGAGTCATCTCTTTGGCCATAAGAGTTCGGTTAGTTCGATTAAATCTTGTTTACTTAATTTCCTGATCCAGTCTGAATCTCTTTAAATCGTTTGTAATTCTATTTAATTTAAATTTTTATTTTTTATGTTTTTTTCCAATATTTGAATGTACATCTAGTTTGTTATTTCTTTTCTTTATGTTTAACATTGACAGTTATTTGTCAATTAAATAAATAAATAATAAAAAAATAATATCTGATGGATGCATTGGGTTATTTGCTCAGTACTGCCGCTCAAAGTAACCGCACGCTCTGTACAGTTTGGCAATATTTCACTAGCCACCTGTATGGAACAGCCTGTGGTTTGACGAATTTCCTTTATCTTTGATCCACTTTTACCAATTAACGATCCACATCGTCAACTATGCCTATATCATTGAACTGCGAGCACCACTCTTCGAACTTCTTTGTAATGAGTGTAAATGCCGAAAAGATTGCGCTTGTTGTACCAGACACTGTAACAATGCGTTCCGGGCATGGACCATCAGATATATTAATTTTGGCACCAGACTCTTCGCGAAATCTGTTGACAATCCCTTGTTCAAGGGATCAAAGACGGGACGCATTTATTTAACATCCCATCGCATGATTTTCAACAGCAAGAAATCGGCAGATCCACTGAAATCCTTCAGTGCACTGTTCGTGGCGCTCTCCGATGTAAGTGCAACAAAAAGGCAACTGGCGCTGTAATTAATTTGTGCTTCCCACTTATAGGTTGAAATCGAGCAGCCGGTCTTTGGTGCCAACTACATAAAGGGAAAGGTACGTGCCCAACCCAATGGCAACTATATCGGCGAGGTAAAGTTCAAATTGCACTTCAAAGCTCGGTTGCGTGCCGCCAAGACCGCCATGAACGACTACCATCGCGGTGGTCTGCCTGTTGACGATCCTCCGCCATATGCCCCAGCCGGCGCATTGCACGAGGCGCCTCCACCGGCATATCAGCCACCACCCGGTTACTATGGTTGGCTGCCGCAACATGATGCATTCATGATAATGATAATGATGCATCAATAAGTATTTCACCATATGTTATAAGGGATTCAGTCGGCTTTTGTTATTACACAATTACTGCGCTGCCTTATTTATCATTTGCTCAAATAGTAAACAACAAATTTTCAATTCGCGCACGCTTTATCTTACTCACCTGCACCTCGTTTCATTATATATTCGATAGCACCACCTGCCAATCAGCCAGCACCACAGCCGCAGCAGCAGCCGCAGCCATCTGAACCCACTTGGTATGGTTTTTTCAGTGGGTGGAGCTCCATCGCAGCAGCAACCACAACAGCCGCCAGCTGCAGGTCTAGCCACCGGAACAGCTGGAGGTACAGCCGCCGCTAGTTTTATGGGCTTCAGTTTGCCACCAGGAAGTAAGTATTGCGATTGATTCAAAGTTATCTGTAGCTTATAAAATCATATTCATCGCCCATTTATTTATTTGATTTGATAATTTACCCAGTATCTGCCCAATAAAGAAGAGACTGAAATTTGCAAATGCTATTTGGAACAATAAATTACACACCCTAACACACCTTCTAACCCTGAGACAATCAACATTTTATAACAATACTAATACGCCTTACAGCTCAAGAATGCAGTAGAATATTGTCCATTCAATTAATTTGCTGACTGGTCTTGGATAAATATTGAGAATTGGTCGTGGTTTTGTAAAATTGTTTCATATCGTTGTAACAATTTAGCTGTTTGTGCATAATTCGATGTAAAACTCATAATTTTCGGTCGCTTTACGGCATACTTACAAACACAAATACAACCATAGCACTTGTCGGCGTGCAGTTTGGTGGTTGAAATAAGTACCGCTGCGTGAACAGTTATACGCATACATGCTTGTGCCTACATTCGTGCATAGGTAGACTCGCCCGCGCTAATATTTCTTTGCATTCTCTTCATTCGCGCTTCTACATAAAGGGTGCTTTGTCGTGTGCTTTGTAACGGGTTACGTATATAATCCAGGCTAGATGGTGGGCATAGGAGATAGCGCACGCGATATTTTTCCGGCTCTAGCTCGTCGGCAAGTGGGGTGGTGATCTTACTTCTCGCCTATGATTTGCCTATACATATATATTTCTTTAAAAAAAGATGCGTGCAGACAAGTGGAAAAGTTGTGGTAATATACACAGGATAGAGAGAGGGAAAACAAACATAAAACGGAAATTGCGATCCTCAGATGTTAATGAGGTTAACCTCTATCCTCAGGTGTTAATGAGGTGAACTGCCCTCCCTACCATGGTCATTCCTTACCAAAACAATAAGGACGAACTATTAGAATGATATAATGAATGAAACACAATTGCACACTCGGGAGCGACGAGCAATAAAGAAGTCAGTGTAAGCTCGATCATTGAAGAGAGAGGTTGTGTGTGCTCGCGAAAAGAAGTATTAAATGAGAGTGAAATCAGAAGATGAACAATTGTCAAACTAACTTTAAATACATATAAACTATTTCAATAAAGCTTAAACTACAATATTATATACTATTACTAGCAGGTATTGCCCGTCTTAACCCGGCTCAATATAATGTTTCCAATTGTATTTATTTTGTGTGTGCATAACCTACCCATATGTTATCACCTTATAAGTTACCAGTAGGAAGGCATTTAAGGTATTTAAATGAACATTTTCTGTTCTTGACAAAAAATTGTTCAGTAGTCCGTTACATTTTTGTTCTTGCCAAACTATTTCGTTCAACGAACATGACCACTATAACTAATATTTTTTAAAGCTCGTTTTCCCCCCTTTGGAGCTAGAATTTTCTAAAAGCCTTTCTTAGTGTGCTCCTACACTATGATGGATACTTGAGTCCAAATTTCAGCTTCCTAGCCTTTACCATTTGGGCTGTGCGTTGATCACCAATCATTCAGTCAGTCAGTCAGGACAAACTTTTTTATATATATAGATATGTGAGTAAATCATGATGTCAGTGACACGTTTGGAAAAAGTGACTTCTTGATTAGATTACAATATTTGTAAATAGACCAAAAATGCGACCTCAAAATGGAACAAAAACTTGGAAATTTGGGCCGATTCTATTTATTCTATTTATACATTTATACATAGTGTTGGTCATGCTGTTCTTACCCCAAATTTTCTATCGTTTTTAAAAGGGTTAGTATGGCTTTTGATATATTCACGATGTTTTTACAATTTTAAAGTGATCGCAAATTGCTGTACAGTGCTTTAGGGAAATCCCCACCTATTTGGGGGTATATGATGAACATTCCAATCTAATCACAATTCATTTCTCGATAAGTCACACTTCGAAACACTACCTATAAATGAATATACACAAGAAATTCTGGAATAAAGATAAAAAATTTGCTTAAAAAATGCAATTGCGGAACCGTGATGTCCCCCTAGTTATAGGAAAAGTATACACATACAACAATCCTAACTACAGGAATATCCAATTAGGATATATTAATAAAAAACGTAAAACTCGTCGGAATAAGGCTGGACTAAAAAATACTTCTGATCAGATTGCGGCCGATGTGCGGGATCCTGCCGGCTTAGTTAAATGTATAGTAAAACAGTCCACTTTCAACTTTTGCCCCTAATACCCGAACTGTTTTTTTCAGATATCACTATTGGAATTGATCCGGCATATTGAACCGATTTATTGTTTTTAAAATTTAAATATGCTTAACAAATGCTGCCCCAGAAGGAATGAGATCGCCAAAGCGAACGCCAAAAACCGGTCTTCGAGAACTTGAATTGGAAAACTGTCAACCACGTTTTGAATTACTTCTTCAGCAGCAAGCCCCTGTTTTTACCTTAAGTTTTCTAGTACAAGACTTATTAAACGGGTTGTTCCCTTTGGCGTTGGGTTTATGATTAGTAGCTGAATGATTTGTCTATTGTTGATTTGTAAAAGCAAAGGCATCGAAGAAACTATAACAGAATTCCCAAGTGAGTCCTTGTACCCCAATGTACCCTTGAGTGAAAATAAAACAAGTAAAAAAGCTAAAGTCGGGTGTCCCGACTTTGAAATACTCTGTACATATGTTTACAAAACCAATTAACAAAAAATATTTTGATCGATTTTACCTCTTTTCGTATTCGAACTCACGTAAAGGGTGTATAATTGCACATTTGCATAGCAATTGCGTCTGTGTGAGTGTATGTATGCCTATGCGCATCTATTCGTGTCTGTGTAAACATTTATGCAGTCAACCAAACAGCAACATCAACAACAGCCGCGGGCAGCGCTTGAGCTGCGCTGCAGCAGCAAATATATTTATGGCTATAACTTATTGTTAAATCGGTCTATCATAGTGAAACTTGACATAGGGACACATATTAACTAACTGGGGGTATTTGCAAAATTTGAGTTCGAAATTCCAAGAATTACGAGAGTGAGAGAAAATCGCGATTTGCATTGGAGAGGGGGGCGGGAGGGAAATTCCAAAATACACATTTACGGGCAGCGCTTCAGCAGCGCTGCAGCATCTATATATATAAAACAGTTTGTCCTGACTGACTGACTGACTGATTGGTGATCAACGCACAGCCCAAACGGTAAAGGCTAGGAAGCTGAAATTTGGACTCAAGTATCCATCATAGTGTAGGAGCACACTAAGAAAGGCTTTTAGAAAATTCTAGCTCCAAAGGGGGGAAAACGAGCTTTAAAAAATATTAGTTATAGTGGTCATGTTCGTTGAACGAAATAGTTTGGCAAGAACAAAAATGTAACGGACTACTGAATAATTTTTTGTCAAGAACAGAAAATGTTCATTTAAATACCTTAAATGCCTTCCTACTGGTAACTTATAAGGTGAAAGCATATGGGTAGGTTATGCACACACAAAATAAATACAATTGGAAACATTATATTGAGCCGGGTTAAAACGGGCAATACTTGCTAGTCAAATATATTTATGGCTATAACTTCTTGTTAAAGACCTATTATGATGAAACTTGGCATACGGACACATAATAACTAACTGGAGGTATTTGCAAAATTTTAGTTAGAAATTCCAAGAATTACGGGAGTTAAAGAAAATCGCGATTTGCATTGGAGAGGGGGGGAGGTAGGGAAATTCTAAAAAACACATTTTCTGCGTATTCACATAAGGCATCTTGGACTTTAAATTTAATATCCCTAGGTCCTATAGTGTTAGTTATAGCAAGGTCTATATTTTAAACAGTAGGCTTCAAACAATAAACTATTTTTAAAAAGTGGGCGTGGTTATACGCTCATACCACCCATATACATGTATTAAATGATATGTGAGTAAATCATGATGTCAGTGACACATTTGGAAAAAGTGACTTCTTGATTAGATTACAATTTGTAAATAGACCAAAAATACGACCTCAAAATGGAACAAAAACTTGGACATTTTGGCCGATTCTATTTATTCTATTTATACATTTATACATAGTGTTGGTCATGCTGTTCTTACCCCAAATTTTCTATCGTTTTTAAAAGGGTTAGTTTGGCATTTGATATATTCTCGATGTTTTTAAAATTTTAAAGTGATCGCAGATTGCTGTACAGTGCTTTGGGGAAATCCCCAACTATTTGGGGGTATATGATGAACATTCCAATCTAATCACAATTCATTTCTCGATAAGTCACACTTCGAAACACTTCCTATAAATGAATATACACAAGAAATTCTGGAATAAAGATAAAAAATTTGCTTAAAAAATGCAATTGCGGAACCGTGATGTCCCAGATGCCATATGTGAATACGCAGAAAATGTGTATTTTGGAATTTCCCTCCCGCCCCCTCTTCAAAGCAAATCGCGATTTTCTCTCACTCTCGAAATTCTTGAAATTTCGAACTAATATTTTGCAAATGCCCCCAGTTAGTTAATATGTGTCCGTATGTCAAGTTTCACTATGATAGACCGATTTAACAAGAAGTTATAGCCAAAAATATATTTGCTGCTGCAGCGCAGCTCAAGCGCTGCCCGCGGCTGTTGTTGATGTTGCTGTTTGGTTGACTGCACACATGTTTACACAGACACGAATAGACACAACAGTCGCGGGCAGCGCTGCAGCATCTATATATAAAACAGTTTGTCATGACTGACTGACTGATTGGTGATCAACGCACAGCCCAAACGGTAAAGGCTAGGAAGCTGAAATTTGGACTCTAGTATCCTTTCATAGTCTAGGTGCCCACTAAGAAGGGATTTTGGAGAACTCGAGCTCCAAAGGGGGGAAAACAGGCTCCAACGTTTGTATGAACATGTAAAAAAGCTAAAGTCGGGTGTCCCGACTTTGAAATACTCTGTACATATGTTTACAATAATTATAGAAAATAAAAAATATTAAGAAAATAACAAGATAGAACGCTACAGTCGAGCAAGCCCGACAGTAAAATAGCCTGTACTCTCCACAAAAAAAGAAAAATTAAAAAAAAAAAATTTTTAAAAAAAATTAAATTATTAAAAAAAATTAATGAATTAATTAATTAAATTAAATTAGAATATATGTTTATGTTTAGTTTTAACAGCATACGTTTACATCACGTACCTATGCGTGTTTATATGCGTGTATGTATGCAGCACAAAGTTGAACCAAAGCAGCAACAACAACAACAGCTGCGGGCAGCGCATGAGCAGCGATTTTACTTATGGCTATAACTTTCTTCAGAATCGACCTATCATGATGAAATTTGGCACACGGACAAATTAGTACTAACTGGATGTACCTACCAAAATTGATTTCAAAATTCCGAGAATTACGGAAGTTATAAGAAAAAACACGAATTGCGGGGGAGTGGGGGGGGGTGCATCGAAAAAAAACTCAAACTCGTACTTTCTCGGTCTTAGGAGAATATGGAAACCAAGTTTGGTTATTCTAGCTCTTATACTTTCTGAGATCCTTGCGTTCATACGGACAGACGGACAGACAGACGGACGGACGGACAAGGCTATATCGACTCGGCTTCTCATCCTGATCAAGAATATATATACTTTGTGGGGTCTGCCACGCCTCCTTCTGTGTGTTACATACATGCGCACAAAACTAGTATAGCCTTTCACCCTTTGGGTACAGGCTATAAAAAAAAAATTTTGTCGATTTTACCTCTCTCGGTATTCGAACTCACGTAAAGGGTTTATAATTGCACATTTACATAGCAATTGCGTCTGTGTGAGTGTAGGTATGCCTATGCGCATCAATTCGTGTGTGTGTAAGCATTTTCGCAGTCAACCGAACTGCAACATCAACAGCCGCGGGCAGCGCTGCTCATTTTCTGCGTATTCACACAAGGGATCTTGGACTAAAATTTGGTGTGCCTAGGTCTTATAGTCTCCGAGATATAGGCGATTATACTAATGAAAAATCGGGAAAACCCCCATAGGAGGGAAGTGGGGGGGGGGGGGGGAAATCAAAAAAATAAAACAAACTCGTATAGAATACACACATAACGCATCTTTGTGCAATATTTGGTGTCTCTATCTCTTATAGTCTCTGAGATCCAGGTGTTCATACGGACGGACAGACTGACAGACGGACAGACAGACAGACAGGGCTAGATCGACTCGTCTCGTCATGCTGATCAAGAATATATATACTTTGTGGGATCTGCCACGTCTCCTTCTGCCTGTTACATTTTTCAGCTCCCGCAAACCATTTTACAAAAGCATGCAGAACAAACAATACAAAATATCAAACAGTTGGGGACAACTAAGTATACACACACACACACACACACACATACAAACAGCTGTTCGTGTAGTTGCGTGCAAACGATTGAAATAGCCAAAGCAAAATGTGAGACACTAATATGTGATTGTCCATACATATGTGCACATCTATGAATGTACATATGTATCTACATATGTATGCATGTACATTCGTCTTGCACTGACAGAGCAAGAAATGTTAATTAATTGAAAATTATATAACATTTTTAAAAGTAATTTTTATAGCCTGTACCCAAAGGGTGAAGGGCTATACTAGTTTTGTGCGCATGTATGTGGTCTCCAATATTTCCGTAGTGTCGAAAACAACCAAGAGACGACGTAGTATTATTATGTTTAACAGTTTTTAATATTATAGGTTTATTTAGATGTAATAACAATGTTTGTTTGTGTGTGTGTATGTTTGTGTAATTATTATATATAAGTACTTTAATGAATAACTTTATATATATGTATGTAATTAGGCTTCACTGATACGTGCGTAGCTCACGAGATTCTGGCACCGACTGAATAATTGCTCGCTCTCTTTTACCATTTTGCTCTCTCGGCTCTCGTCGTTTAGTAACGACGGCCACTTCGCGTTGAACGTTCGGTTGCTTGCTCTTCTGGAACTTTCCCAATTCCTACATGTATGTAACACACAGAAGGAGGCGTGGCAGACCTCACAAAGTATATATATTCTTGATCAGGATGAGAAGCCGAGTGGATATAGCCTTGTCCGTCTGTGTGTCCGTCTGTCCGTATGAACGCAAGAATCTCAGAAAGTATAAGAGCTAGAATAACCAAATTTGGTTTCCATATTCTCCTAAGACCGAGAAAGTACGAGTATGAGTTTTTTCTTATAACTTCCGTAATTCTCGGAATTTTGAAATCAAGGTGGGTAGGTACATCCAGTTAGTACTAATGTATCCGTGTGCCAAATTTCATTATGATAGGTCAATTCTGAAGAAAGTTATAGCCATAAGTAAAATCGCTGTCGGCAGCGCTGCCCGCAGCTGTTGTTGTTGCTGCTTTGGTTCAACTTTGTGCTGCATACATACACGCATATAAACACGCATAGGTACGTGATGTAAATGTATGCTGTTAAAACTGAACATAAACATGTATTCTAATTTAATTTAATTAATTAATTAATTCATTCATTTTTTTAATAATTTAATTTTTTTTTTTTTTAAATTTTTCTTTTTTGTGGAGAGTACAGGCTATTTTACTGTCGGGCTTGTTCGACTGTAGCGTTTTATCTTGTTTTTTCTTTGTTTAGTGCATTTGGCATTAGGGTTTTCATTAATAACTTTATGCAGCAACAACAAATATCAAATAGTTCGGGACATCACATACACACACTCACACACACAACAAGCAACAGTTCGTGTCTATGTGTGCGGTTCTCTACGTACGGTTGAAAAAGTAAAGAGAAACATACATACATATGTATGTATGTATGCCTTTGTATGAATATAGCATGTATGTACATTCGCATTAATGTATACATTGGGCAATCGAACACAGTTGTTTGATTGTAAAAAAAATAATGCTCTAAAAACAACAACAACTGCAAGTCATTGGCTCGCTCTTCTTCTTTCATTGTGACCATTTAATGTTAATTGCAAAGGCAAAACGCCAAAAGTTTACAGTTACCGTCGCTAGGCAACGACTGCGTAAGCGATAGTAAAGCAAAAACCGAATAACGGAGCTACGCATATTCTGCTTCGCATTGCGGGCAGATGTATGTATGTATATGATTTGTTCTTATTGATCTCAATAAATAATTAGATTTTATTACTTAAATATTCTGCTTATTGCATTCAAACTTTACTCTAGCAAATTGAGATGAGAATTGTCAGTGCTTTTTGATCGTGGCTCATCGCTGCACGGCATTGACACGAGTGCCGTGTTTCTTATACCGAGTTTGTGCGTGACCGTATTGACTCAATATGGCACGAAAAGACTCAAATGTGAATTTAAAATTAGGATATACCCTTATAATTATTCTCCTTTTTTGCACATAGTCTATCTTAAAACGTTGCGTTATCTCTATATATAAAACAGTTTGTCCTGACTAATTGGTGATCAACGCACAGCCCAAACGGTAAAAGATGAAATTTGGACTCAAGTATCGTTTCATAGTATCCATCATAGTGTAGGAGCACACTAAGAAAGGCTTTTGGAAAATTCTAGCTCCAAAGGGGGGAAAACGAGCTTTATAAAATATTAGTTATAGTGGTCATGTTCGTTTAACGAAATAGTTTGGCAAGAACAAAAATGTAACGGACTACTGAACAGTTTTTTGTCAAGAACAGAAAATGTTCAATTAAATACCTTAAATGCCTTCCTACTGGTAACTTAAAGGGTGAAAGCATATGGGAAGGTTATGCACACACAAAATAAATACAATTGGAAACATTATATTGAGCCGGGTTAAGACGGGCAATACCTGCTAGTGTATGTATATAATATAATTTGTGTATGTAATGTTGTTGCACAAAATAAATCAAGTGCCAAAAATTGAGTCGCCATAAGCACACACGTACTATATGTACATACGTATGTATGTATGTAAATAGATTTTTCTCCACTTTACACTTGCACGAATTGCAGCAATTAAACTTGTTAATGCTTTATGCTCAATTGTTGGCACAGAATACCTGAAAGCTCTCAAAAGAGTCCACCGAAACTTCCCTGGATTCCGAGCGACGATCACCCATTAGCCAAGCGAAACGACAGTACCACAAGTAGGGCAGACAGCAGCTCCACAGTCCAAACGAATGTATGTATATGGTATCCAGATCCAAATCCAAATCAAACGAGGTAATCACACGACCGCGCACAAAAACCAAGCCACAAAGACCGCAAACAAACGAGGAAAAAATCTTATGAAAACCGATGTCCCTGCTCGGGCGCCAATGAAAAATCGCTAGCTTTTTAGCGAAACGACAACAAGATTTAACTATTTATTAAATGAGACGCGGTGTTCTTTGATTATTAAAATGGCTTTTAATGGCTTGGTAATTGTGCAAAAACGATGTTGAATGTGCGAGAATTATTTAGCAAGTGTTTTGCCTGCTGCCGCTACAAGTCAGCGGGCCGGCATAAGAAAAAGAATGCACAAAGAGAGCGCCACAGAGAGCGCAGTAAAGGGCGCGATAGAGAGCGTAAAGAAAAGGCTTAGAAGCTCAGTAGGGTGCTCCAACAGTTCCCATAAGCCTAAATCGCTGTACAAGCAACTATGCTTTGCACAGTCCGTTTCGGGTTATGTGTAGCAACTACAATAATTTGAGTCATCTCTTTGGCCATAAGAGTTCGGTTAGTTCGATTAAATCTTGTTTACTTAATTTCCTGATCCAGTCTGAATCTCTTTAAATCGTTTGTAATTCTATTTAATTTAAATTTTTATTTTTTATGTTTTTTTCCAATATTTGAATGTACATCTAGTTTGTTATTTCTTTTCTTTATGTTTAACATTGACAGTTATTTGTCAATTAAATAAATAAATAATAAAAAAATAATATCTGATGGATGCATTGGGTTATTTGCTCAGTACTGCCGCTCAAAGTAACCGCACGCTCTGTAGAGTTTGGCAATATTTCACTAGCCACCTGTATGGACCAGCCTGTGGTTTGACCAATTAACGATCCACATCGTCAACTATGCCTATATCATTGAACTGCGAGCACCACTCTTCGAACTTCTTTGTAATGAGTGTAAATGCCGAAAAGATTGCGGGCATGGACCATCAGATATATTAATTTTGGCACCAGACTCTTCGCGAAATCTGTTGACAATCCCTTGTTCAAGGGATCAAAGACGGGACGCATTTATTTAACATCCCATCGCATGATTTTCAACAGCAAGAAATCGGCAGATCCACTGAAATCCTTCAGTGCACTGTTCGTGGCGCTCTCCGATGTAAGTGCAACAAAAAGGCAACTGGCGCTGTAATTAATTTGTGCTTCCCACTTATAGGTTGAAATCGAGCAGCCGGTCTTTGGTGCCAACTACATAAAGGGAAAGGTACGTGCCCAACCCAATGGCAACTATATCGGCGAGGTAAAGTTCAAATTGCACTTCAAAGCTCGGTTGCGTGCCGCCAAGACCGCCATGAACGACTACCATCGCGGTGGTCTGCCTGTTGACGATCCTCCGCCATATGCCCCAGCCGGCGCATTGCACGAGGCGCCTCCACCGGCATATCAGCCACCACCCGGTTACTATGGTTGGCTGCCGCAACATGATGCATTCATGATAATGATAATGATGCATCAATAAGTATTTCACCATATGTTATAAGGGATTCAGTCGGCTTTTGTTATTACACAATTACTGCGCTGCCTTATTTATCATTTGCTCAAATAGTAAACAACAAATTTTCAATTCGCGCACGCTTTATCTTACTCACCTGCACCTCGTTTCATTATATATTCGATAGCACCACCTGCCAATCAGCCAGCACCACAGCCGCAGCAGCAGCCGCAGCCATCTGAACCCACTTGGTATGGTTTTTCAGTGGGTGGAGCTCCATCGCAGCAGCAACCACAACAGCCGCCAGCTGCAGGTCTAGCCACCGGAACAGCTGGAGGTACAGCCGCCGCTAGTTTTATGGGCTTCAGTTTGCCACCAGGAAGTAAGTATTGCGATTGATTCAAAGTTATCTGTAGCTTATAAAATCATATTCATCGCCCATTTATTTATTTGATTTGATAATTTACCCAGTATCTGCCCAATAAAGAAGAGACTGAAATTTGCAAATGCTATTTGGAACAATAAATTACACACCCTAACACACCTTCTAACCCTGAGACAATCAACATTTTATAACAATACTAATACGCCTTACAGCTCAAGAATGCAGTAGAATATTGTCCATTCAATTAATTTGCTGACTGGTCTTGGATAAATATTGAGAATTGGTCGTGGTTTTGTAAAATTGTTTCATATCGTTGTAACAATTTAGCTGTTTGTGCATAATTCGATGTAAAACTCATAATTTTCGGTCGCTTTACGGCATACTTACAAACACAAATACAACCATAGCACTTGTCGGCGTGCAGTTTGGTGGTTGAAATAAGTACCGCTGCGTGAACAGTTATACGCATACATGCTTGTGCCTACATTCGTGCATAGGTAGACTCGCCCGCGCTAATATTTCTTTGCATTCTCTTCATTCGCGCTTCTACATAAAGGGTGCTTTGTCGTGTGCTTTGTAACGGGTTACGTATATAATCCAGGCTAGATGGTGGGCATAGGAGATAGCGCACGCGATATTTTTCCGGCTCTAGCTCGTCGGCAAGTGGGGTGGTGATCTTACTTCTCGCCTATGATTTGCCTATACATATATATTTCTTTAAAAAAAAGATGCGTGCAGACAAGTGGAAAAGTTGTGGTAATATACACAGGATAGAGAGAGGGAAAACAAACATAAAACGGAAATTGCGATCCTCAGATGTTAATGAGGTGAACCTCTATCCTCAGGTGTTAATGAGGTGAACTGCCCTCCCTACCATGGTCATTCCTTACCAAAACAATAAGGACGAACTATTAGAATGACCCCTATAATGAATGAAACACAATTGCACACTCGGGAGCGACGAGCAATAAAGAAGTCAGTGTAAGCTCGATCATTGAAGAGAGAGGTTGTGTGTGCTCGCGAAAAGAAGTATTAAATGAGAGTGAAATCAGAAGATGAACAATTGTCAAACTAACTTTAAATACATATAAACTATTTCAATAAAGCTTAAACTACAATATTATATACTATTACTAGCAGGTATTGCCCGTCTTAACCCGGCTCAATATAATGTTTCCAATTGTATTTATTTTGTGTGTGCATAACCTACCCATATGTTATCACCTTATAAGTTACCAGTAGGAAGGCATTTAAGGTATTTAAATGAACATTTTCTGTTCTTGACAAAAAATTGTTCAGTAGTCCGTTACATTTTTGTTCTTGCCAAACTATTTCGTTCAACGAACATGACCACTATAACTAATATTTTTTAAAGCTCGTTTTCCCCCCTTTGGAGCTAGAATTTTCTAAAAGCCTTTCTTAGTGTGCTCCTACACTATGATGGATACTTGAGTCCAAATTTCAGCTTCCTAGCCTTTACCATTTGGGCTGTGCGTTGATCACCAATCATTCAGTCAGTCAGTCAGGACAAACTTTTTTATATATATAGATATGTGAGTAAATCATGATGTCAGTGACACATTTGGAAAAAGTGACTTCTTGATTAGATTACAATATTTGTAAATAGACCAAAAATGCGACCTCAAAATGGAACAAAAACTTGGAAATTTGGGCCGATTCTATTTATTCTATTTATACATTTATACATAGTGTTGCTCATGCTGTTCTTACCCCAAATTTTCTATCGTTTTTAAAAGGGTTAGTATGGCTTTTGATATATTCACGATGTTTTTACAATTTTAAAGTGATCGCAAATTGCTGTACAGTGCTTTAGGGAAATCCCCACCTATTTGGGGGTATATGATGAACATTCCAATCTAATCACAATTCATTTCTCGATAAGTCACACTTCGAAACACTTCCTATAAATGAATATACACAAGAAATTCTGGAATAAAGATAAAAAATTTGCTTAAAAAATGCAATTGCGGAACCGTGATGTCCCCCTAGTTATAGGAAAAGTATACACATACAACAATCCTAACTACAGGAATATCCAATTAGGATATATTAATAAAAAACGTAAAACTCGTCGGAATAAGGCTGGACTAAAAAATACTTCTGATCAGATTGCGGCCGATGTGCGGGATCCTGCCGGCTTAGTTAAATGTATAGTAAAACAGTCCACTTTCAACTTTTGCCCCTAATACCCGAACTGTTTTTTTCAGATATCACTATTGGAATTGATCCGGCATATTGAACCGATTTATTGTTTTTAAAATTTAAATATGCTTAAATGCTGCCCCAGAAGGAATGAGATCGCCAAAGCGAACGCCAAAAAACGGTCTTCGAGAACTTGAATTGGAAAACTGTCAACCACGTTTTGAATTACTTCTTCAGCAGCAAGCCCCTGTTTTTACCTTAAGTTTTCTAGTACAAGACTTATTAAACGGGTTGTTCCCTTTGGCGTTGGGTTTATGATTAGTAGCTGAATGATTTGTCTATTGTTGATTTGTAAAAGCAAAGGCATCGAAGAAACTATAACAGAATTCCCAAGTGAGTCCTTGTACCCCAATGTACCCTTGAGTGAAAATAAAACAAGTAAAAAAGCTAAAGTCGGATGTCCCGACTTTGAAATACTCTGTACATATGTTTACAAAACCAATTAACAAAAAATATTTTGATCGATTTTACCTCTTTTCGTATTCGAACTCACGTAAAGGGTGTATAATTGCACATTTGCATAGCAATTGCGTCTGTGTGAGTGTATGTATGCCTATGCGCATCTATTCGTGTCTGTGTAAACATTTATGCAGTCAACCAAACAGCAACATCAACAACAGCCGCGGGCAGCGCTTGAGCTGCGCTGCAGCAGCAAATATATTTATGGCTATAACTTATTGTTAAATCGGTCTATCATAGTGAAACTTGACATAGGGACACATATTAACTAACGGGGGGTATTTGCAAAATTTGAGTTCGAAATTCCAAGAATTACGAGAGTGAGAGAAAATCGCGATTTGCATTGGAGAGGGGGGCGGGAGGGAAATTCCAAAATACACATTTGCGGGCAGCGCTTCAGCAGCGCTGCAGCATCTATATATATAAAACAGTTTGTCCTGACTGACTGACTGACTGACTGACTGATTGGTGATCAACGCACAGCCCAAACGGTAAAGGCTAGGAAGCTCAAATTTGGACTCAAGTATCCATCATAGTGTAGGAGCACACTAAGAAAGGCTTTTAGAAAATTCTAGCTCCAAAGGGGGGAAAACGAGCTTTAAAAAATATTAGTTATAGTGGTCATGTTCGTTTAACGAAATAGTTTGGCAAGAACAAAAATGTAACGGACTACTGAATAATTTTTTGTCAAGAACAGAAAATGTTCATTTAAATACCTTAAATGCCTTCCTACTGGTAACTTATAAGGTGAAAGCATATGGGTAGGTTATGCACACACAAAATAAATACAATTGGAAACATTATATTGAGCCGGGTTAAAACGGGCAATACTTGCTAGTCAAATATATTTATGGCTATAACTTCTTGTTAAAGACCTATTATGATGAAACTTGGCATACGGACACATAATAACTAACTGGAGGTATTTGCAAAATTTTAGTTAGAAATTCCAAGAATTACGGGAGTTAAAGAAAATCGCGATTTGCATTGGAGAGGGGGGGAGGTAGGGAAATTCTAAAAAACACATTTTCTGCGTATTCACATAAGGCATCTTGGACTTTAAATTTAATATCCCTAGGTCCTATAGTGTTAGTTATAGCAAGGTCTATATTTTAAACAGTAGGCTTCAAACAATAAACTATTTTTAAAAAGTGGGCGTGGTTATACGCTCATACCACCCATATACATGTATTAAATGATATGTGAGTAAATCATGATGTCAGTGACACATTTGGAAAAAGTGACTTCTTGATTAGATTACAATATTTGTAAATAGACCAAAAATACGACCTCAAAATGGAACAAAAACTTGGAAATTTTGGCCGATTCTATTTATTCTATTTATACATTTATACATAGTGTTGGTCATGCTGTACTTACCCCAAATTTTCTATCGTTTTTAAAAGGGTTAGTTTGGCCTTTGATATATTCACGATGTTTTCTAAAATTTTAAAGTGATCGCAGATTGCTGTACAGTGCTTTGGGGAAATCCCCACCTATTTGGGGGTATATGATGAACATTCCAATCGAATCACAATTCATTTCTCGATAAGTCACACTTCGAAACACTTCCTATAAATGAATATACACAAGAAATTCTGGAATAAAGATAAAAAATTTGCTTAAAAAATGCAATTGCGGAACCGTGATGTCCCAGATGCCATATGTGAATACGCAGAAAATGTGTATTTTGGAATTTCCCTCCCGCCCCCTCTTCAAAGCAAATCGCGATTTTCTCTCACTCTCGAAATTCTTGAAATTTCGAACTAATATTTTGCAAATGCCCCCAGTTAGTTAATATGTGTCCGTATGTCAAGTTTCACTATGATAGACCGATTTAACAAGAAGTTATAGCCAAAAATATATTTGCTGCTGCAGCGCAGCTCAAGCGCTGCCCGCGGCTGTTGTTGATGTTGCTGTTTGGTTGACTGCACACATGTTTACACAGACACGAATAGACACAACAGTCGCGGGCAGCGCTGCAGCATCTATATATAAAACAGTTTGTCATGACTGACTGACTGATTGGTGATCAACGCACAGCCCAAACGGTAAAGGCTAGGAAGCTGAAATTTGGACTCTAGTATCCTTTCATAGTCTAGGTGCCCACTAAGAAGGGATTTTGGAGAACTCGAGCTCCAAAGGGGGGAAAACAGGCTCCAACGTTTGTATGAACATGTAGAAAAGCTAAAGTCGGGTGTCCCGACTTTGAAATACTCTGTACATATGTTTACAATAATTATAGAAAATAAAAAATATTAAGAAAATAACAAGATAGAACGCTACAGTCGAGCAAGCCCGACAGTAAAATAGCCTGTACTCTCCACAAAAA